GAATTATTTGCCTAAAAGTGTTCTTCTATAACTTGTTCAAAAAATCCTAAATAGATATACCTACTTTTCAAAAAGTTTAAAAATTTCAATCCCTGTGTTTCCATTGCTACTGAACACCAGAAAAAAAAATCGAATTTGGTACCACACGAATCACTCATTTTGTACCCCGCGGTCCCCCGAATCGTTGCACCCTGCGAATTCTTTGCCGTAAAAGTAGTTTTTCATCTTTTAGGTTCTCATTACTCTGATGTAACCACTTGCATTGCGCGCCACCACTTTTCTTCAGTCCATGTAACACCGTCCCCTTCTTCTTCTCGCAGCTAAATAGCAACCATACCACTCTCCTCCCATTCTCAAACTTTTTTTCTTTCTCTTTTATCATCTCTTTAGATCTCCGTCCCGTAATTCGTAGTACAACTTTTTTCATAAAAAGACAAAAATAATGCCTGGTGTAAATCTCGTAGTTTGTGAGCTCCAATTTTTGTAGTGATCGAGTCAGAATGCTCGTGATTTTCTATTCTTCCTTCTCCAGATACTCTCTCCTCTCTCTCCCCGCTTTTTCTGTCATAACTCTTTTTTTTATAATTCTCCATCCATTCGTTTTTTAAATGTTTTCCCTTCTCTGAAATGGTTTTCCGAAAAAAAAACCGTCTTCTTTTTCTCTGTCTTTGTAATAGTTTTCAAATTTTACTTTCCAGGTACTGCACATGAAAGTGATACATTTCAAAGGAGCGGCGTTTCGCCACTTGGACGATGGAAAGGTGGAAATGGTTTGAAAACGTTAAAATTTAACCTATCAAGAACCATATTTATTTTTTCAGATGCCTCCTTATTTCTACGACCGGAAGGCCAAGGTAAGTAATGACATAATATCGTTTTCTTATTGGCTACCACTAATATGTTCAAAACTTGTCAAGGTTAACTTTCAGAACGTAGTATTGGTTCTTATGGTTGTCGACATTATCTTCACTTGTTTCTGCATTCTTCCCGCCAACGATCTCGTCGCTTGTGTCCTCTTTGCTACGGTGAGTCACTGGTCTCTGTTGGACGCCATCAAAAAATTGTGATTGGTCTTTATTATTATTTGCAAATCAATTTGTAATAGTAATGAGAGGAAAAATATTCTTTTGATAGTCCGAATAACGGAAACAGAAAGATAATTATATTTTAATGGAAAAGGAAAATAAAAGGGGTACCGAAATATGTGAGAAAAGTCAACACCGGTGTCTGTAGCTGACGATCCCACGACGACAGCTACCGTAACCTAAAAAATTTGGCTCTTTATGACAAGGGGGGGGGGGGGCATGAAAAAAGGGGGGGGGCAAATGATCATTCTATTTTTTCTTGAAATTCCCCGAACCCATGTCGTTTCATTTTGAAGAACAAGTATGTTTCAATCTTATAATAATTCTCAACCTTTTTTTCAAACAATTCTATGTAAGTTTTATTAAACTACAAAACAAATTTTCCCCAAGAACAATTAAATTGGGGATATAAGTAACGAAGAAATCAGGGAAGCAGTAGTTATTAGAAGAACAAAGGTGATGGTGGTCTGTATTCATCGTCAGGCTTTCCAATCTTCTTCACAAACTCTTTATCTTTCAATGCCTCTGTAATCTTTTCGTTCATTCCAGCGTATGTGAACATTTTCAATGAAGCCGGGAGCATGAAACAGTGAGCTGAAAATTAATTTAATTGTTCATATAATCTTCCAAGAATCTGATTACTGAGAATTGAACCACCGAAAAACAAGTAAACCCGAAGCATGTTGCCCAAATTAAACCATTCCTGCAGTTTCTTTACGTTGTTCTCTCCGAATTCGACTGTAAATTAGTAATTTTTGAGATTTAAATTGGGTGTCACTAACTGTTAGGATTCCAAATTAGCCATGGTAGAATGACAAGGAGAGATGTACTGCATACCATGTGAAGGTAAATAATGGGGCAAGATTCACGGTAGTATCCGAAATAGGCGAAGATGGCCGAGATTGGAAGCTGAAATTTGGAGTTTCGTTTGTAAAATTGCATCTCAGTGATGGGATGAATTTTAGCTTTCGGGCGGTTTAAAAAATTAATTTCTGTTTCGACGGAAAAAAATTATTCCGTTATTATTCTGGTACTAAAAAATCGGAGCTGTGGAAGAGAAACGTCGGTGGCAGTGGTCGAAGGTCTCACAACGAAAACTACAGTAACCTGAAAATGCCTGAATTTTCCGGATTTGTTTTCTCGACGAAAAAATCGATCCTGAAAATTAAAATTTTGACTCTTTATGACAAAGGGGGGGGGGCCATGAGAAAAGGGGGCCCAAGTTAAAAGGGGGGGGGGCCCAAAATAATAAATTATACCCAATTGAAGATTTTCTGCTTTTTTCAAATTTTGAAGCTGTTTTGATCAAATTTCGGATTCTGGACATTTTTTGCTCATTTTACATATTTTTGGAAGCAGACCCAGAAGTGGAGGAGGAAGAAGAGACACAAGTGGAGGAGGAAGAAGAAGCACCAGTGGCGATAGCAGCGAGGTCCGCAGATTATGATGGTACAAAATCGTGGCCTGTTATAAACTTTGATTAATCCCTATTTTCTGATTTCTCATTATACAATGTTCTACTACTTTCTATTTCTATTTTCATAGTCAATTAAAAGTATTAAATTCTTGAAATTGTTAAAAATTTTTCAAAGTTAAACAATTGCTACTCAATTTAATGTTCAATTATATCTATTTTTACTTTCACAATCAATAAAAAGTATTAAATAAACCAAATAAACATAAAAAAAGACATGAACTGAGAATTGTGAAAAAAAAGATGTAAAAAGAGCAAAAAATATCCAGAGACCGAAATTTGATCAAAACAGCTTCAAAACTTGAAAAAAGCTGAAAATCTTAACTTGGGTATAATTTTTTATTTTGGGCCCCCCTTTTGACTCGGGCCCCCCCCCCCCTTTTCT